CGCCGCTGGGGCCTTCGGTGGAGCTCCCCACCCCAAGGGGCCATGACACGCTGCCTTGGGTGGGGGAACCGCATGCGAACTGCGCCACGGGGCCTTCGGTGGAGCTCCTTATACGGCCACGAAACGTTGTCCTGGGTGGGGGAACCGCATGCGAACTGCGCCACTGGGGCATTCGGTGGACCCCCATGGAGCAACGAAGCGCTGCCCAGGGGTGGGGGAATCGCATGCGAACTGCGCCACTGGGGCTTTAGGTGGAACTCCCTATGGGGCCACGAAACGCTGCCCTGGGTACGGGAACCGCATGCGAACTGCGCCACTGGGGCCTTCGGTGGAGCTCCCCATGGGGCCACGAAGCGTTGCCCTGGGTGAGGGAACCGCATGCGAGAGCAGCGACTGGGGCCTTCGGTGGAGCTCCTTATGGGGCCACGAATCGTTGCCCTGGGCGGGGGAACCGCATGCGAGAGCAGCCACTGGGGCCTTCGGTGGAGCTCCCTATGGGGCCACGAGACGCTGCCCTGGGTGGGGGAACCGCAAGCGCGAGCAGGCACTGAGGCCTTCGGTGGAGCTCCCTATAGGGCCACGAGACGCTGCCCTGGGTGGGGGAACCGCAAGCGAAAGCAGGCACTGAGGCCTTCGGAGGAGCTCCCTATAGGGCCACGAGACGCTGCCCTGGGTGGGGGAACCGCAAGCGAAAGCAGCCATTGGGGCCTTCGGTGGAGCTCCCTATGGGGCCACGAAACGCTGTCCTGGGTGAGGGAACCGCATGCGAGAGCAATAATTGAGGCCTTCGGTGGAGCTCCCCATGGGGCCACGAAACGCTGCCCTGGGTGGGGGAACCGCATGCGAACACCACCACTGGGGCCTGCGGTAGAGCTCCCTATGGGGGCACGAAGCGCTGCCCTGGGTAGGGGAACCGCATGCGAACACTCCCCATTGGGGCCTTCCGTGGAGCCCCATACAGGGCCACGAAACGCTGTCTTGGGCGGGGGAACCGTATGCGAGAG